CACTTGCTTGATATTTAAACAATACAAGATTTTCTCTTTTACATCAGAGATTTTATATCAAAGATTTTGCTCAACAAAAAACAATATATTAAATTGTTCAAAGTTTTCTAGTTATTTTCCATGAAAATTATTCCAACGGGTTTCCACCTTGACAAATTCGCGAGATAGGCGGGATGCGGGATGCCAGGACGCAACCAGGATGCGATTAAACGTCATGCGGGAAATCAAGAGTTGTTCTTGACCAGTCAAAAGACTAAGACATTATCTAATTATGGCCATCGAGATATCCCTTTTGACCAAATACACATTGTGCAGACATCGCTCGGCATTAATTTGTTATGCTAATTGTTTTGAAATATTTGATAATTAGAAAATTTGAATCTCTAAAATGTGACTCTTCAAACATAAGAGTTGTCAATTGTGGAAAGACAATATTCTGTAGAAAGAATGTGCATGTAAGATTGTAATAAAAGACATACCCGTTGGCAATTGGACTGTTTGTCCTGTAATATTTTGTATGATCGAAGTGGGAAAGACATTCGGTGCTCTTATGAGACTAACTGGTTGCGGCGTAATAATAGTCTGGCCGTTTGCTAATTGTACTTGCTGACCAGCAAGTTGCATTTGCTGGCCGTTTGCAGTAGCAAATTGCATGGCTGGTTGCGCTTGATGATGGCCACTCGCCGCGGACATCGCAGAGGATGGAATAAATAGAGCTTCCTGGCCATCTATGTTGACAGTCTGCATTTGTGGAATTACACTATAGCTGAGTTGTTGTTGATGCGGTTGTTGTTGCGGTTGAGCTTGTTGCTGTTGCTGCTGCTGCTGCTGCTGTGGCTGATTTTGTTGCTGTTGTTGTTGAAGAGCAGCTTGTGTTTGAGTGCTAATAATCTGAGCACCCTGAAATAAAGTGAGTTTTTACACAGATCAAAACCGAATGAGAAACTAAAAAATATGTAATAAGATGTACAGCATAAAAGTTGTATTTGTCGAAATATTATAACATCATTCTCATTTTACATACTTGCAAGAATTGATGAGGTAGCGATTGAACGGAGATTGCTTGCGCTCTTTGCTGATCATGTTGCGATTGTTGAGCTTGTAAAGGCACAAAGTTTTGCAAGGTAATAACTTGCGGTTGCTGCTGCTGCTGCTGAGCTTGTTGCTGAACATCTTGTTGCTGCTGCAGTTGTTGCAATACATTTGCACTTAAAAAACGAATTTGCGATTGGGCAGTTTGCTGTTGTTCTAATTGTTGCTGATCCGTTTCATCTTGTTGCTGTTGCTGCGTCTGTGTTTGCAAAGGATCATGATCCTCGATTTCTTCCTGCAAATGATTATTTCTTTGTTTCTCAAAAGTCAATCTTGTATTATCTTATTTTTATTGTGCTTAGTGTAGCAGAATATACATTAAGCCTCGCTAATTATTATCCTTATCAATCTATAGCTATGACATGGAATACTTATGGAATTGTTTATCACAATCAATATTAATATCACAATTAATATCACAATTAATATTAATATTAATGTTAAAATATTAAAAAATAAAACTTGCAAAAGTAAGCTACAAAAATGCTACTAAGGTATAAGAAGCATCTATCTTACTTGTGAAATATTCCTTCCGTCTATACTTCGTTTCATGATGAATTATTGTGTTTTGCACTATTTATAACAAGGATGTGCTAGGAATCCATAGTGCAATGAATATAATTAGTTGCCCAAAATTTTTCTAAAACTCTGAAAAAAAAAAAGATTTTTCTCAAAAACCGCAGTTGTATAAAAACACATAATTTCTAAGAAATTATCCATTGAAATCTAGCTAATGTATACAAATATTATACACCTTAGAAAATTATGCTAAAGTTATAATATATAGCTAGGATAGTTGATTGTGTGACAAAGATAATTAAATAAATGTAAAAAAATCTATTGATAAAGGAATAAAAGTAGAATTAAAAGAGATTAGAAAAATCTAAAAATTTAACAATAGACTCATTTATAAAAGAATACAAATTTGCTGATAAATTTAGATAATATAAATGTTCCAAACTGAAAGTAAACTTTTGAACTGCTGTCTTTTGAATGAACGTTAATTTTTAAGCTTAATTTTGTCTCCTGCACTGTTCTCTTGCTATTTCACATTTAGCATGCAATTAAATTCATTGCACACGTCATATTTTCATTTTGAATATATGTAGAATAAAAATACAGATAAGTAAAATAAAAATACAGATAAGTTAAAAGTTGAAGTAATTTGACCGTAATACAATGAGATTGAAATGTAAAGGTGAGAAAGGATAAAATAAAGTTTTCTCCGAAAGATTTGCAAGTGTCAAGTGTAGACAGTAGCGTGTGCAGTTTTAAAAGTCGCGCTCTACCGCTCCGTAACCGTTTGATCAGCGCGGGAACAAAGAAGGTCGCGAGCGTGAATCGCGAGCATGTATCTCGAGAACCCGATCGAGGACCGCCTCTTTACGCCCCTGTTTCCACCCGCTGCAACCCGATTCATATCAGACACGCGCGCGAACTCCAACACAATGGCAAAGTGGCATGTGTGTCATCACACCGCCCACTCGGCCGTTCGTGCTCTCACGCGGGTACCTGTGATAACGAGGAAGGCAGACTCACGATGCCAGCCTCCACCCACTTTGCACATGGGACTCCACCTAACTTGGAAACAAACACGTGTTGCCTCGTGCGAAAGATATCCACACGCTCCCAGTCCACGCTAACACCAAATATCAGAGCACACCACCGTGTTTGTCGACACTGGTTCAAATCTTTCCTTTCGTCTTTCCTTTAGAAAGCGCGCAAAGGTACACGTAGCTCACAAAGAATTGCCTCAGCATGAGCCGGTCAAGATGGAGCTGTGCCCACGTCGTTTCATTGTTTGCAAGCGCGGGAGCGATCGCAACTGCATCATTCGCAAGAGCTTACTCAACTGAAGAAGAGCGATTATTTCGTTTGCCTTCGTTTTGTGTATCTCGACGCACAGCACACATATACACACGCACATGCCACACGCGACACGTATTGTGTGTGCGCTCGCGCGCTATGCTGTAACTATTGGTAGCTGTTACACTCGGCCACGCATCACTACGTTGATCGATATGCGATCGAGCACGATTAGCGCAACATTAGCCACAGTCTGGGATTGTCGTCAAATCGATCAGTTGACGATTCTCACATCGAACGTAGCGTTTAATGTTCTGTGCGATATTCCTCGTTCAATCGTGCATCGAACACGATGACGCACACAGTGTTACTATCAAGCAGAGAGAAGAGTCGATGAAAGGCGATGGAATACGCGATTCGTACGCGACTCGTTAAATTCAAGCGATCCTCGACACGTGCATATGTATTCTGTATTCACCAACACACCCGTCTCGTTTAGTCGTCCGTATTTACGTATCACGGAAATGACACGACGAATACTGACAAATACTGACCGCACCGCCATAAGCGAACTAGGAGAGTACAGACGCGTACGTATTCACTGAAACGGAGCCAATGGGCGGTGCGCGAAATGGCAACGTCGCTGTATCGTACACCAGGATGGCACAGACTCGCTGATTGGTTGGTTATTGTGCGCGTCTGGCCCGACTGTAGCTAGCTCCATCTCAGTGATGCCAAAATGAGGACGCGTCTCACACGACAAAATCGTAAATCCGAGTACATGTGTTGCGCAGAATGCATTGCGCAGCACATGTACGCGGATTCTCAATGGTGCGCGTATAGACCGCGTCTGCATTTTGGCGTTATTGCTTCAGCTGGCTGGGGCGTCGTTCGACAGGGGCGTATGCGGGTACGACTTTGGACGCCCACTCTATTAAAGAAGGCTAAACCACGCGTACCTCCTACTTTCTCTATTCTTTTGCTTCTTCCCCTCTTTCACCTAGTACATACATCGAGCATGCATCGATAATACTGAACGTAGCAGGTAGCTCGTGTGGCATTTTTATAGCGTGTATAATGTGAATTGCGATTGCAGTGAGTATATAAAATACCAATTTTATCACAGATTTTAATAAAAATGTTTATTCGACAGCCTTTTAAAACTCATAAAAGAAATTGGAGACAAAAATTGTCGCATTATACTTTGAAAAGAATAATCAAGCGCTAGTTGATATTTTTAGGTTTTGAGGTTAGAAATGATGGGCATGCGCTGATAAAAATAGCGCGTAAAATTTAAATTGTAACATGTCGTATGACAAAAATTAATTAATATTAATTTACATTTAATATTGCATTGTAGATATACAAATACTTACTCTCTTCAGAGCGACACTTTTTACTTTTTCAATTTTCTTTTATAAACAAAAAATGACGAAGACTTTCATTAAAATTTGTAACGAAATCGATATTCTGTCTAATATAACATTTAATATAATGATATACCAAGATTTAAGTATTGAAAAAAAACTAGATAAGACAATAATTATTCTAATTGTTTGCTGTTAGCATTTGAAATGAGAATAAAGAATGAAACAAGTTACGCACGCACACACACCCAGGGTAATGGGTCAACATAACATATCATATTGCAATGATAATAAATTATAGGACTATAAATCTTTCATAATATTTATAATTTGTACAATCTCAGCATTAATGACGATCAAGGTAACAGTACATATAAATAATAAATTTTCTCAAGTTTGAAAGGACTATCGAGATTTCTTTGAGAATTACATAACATTCTTAAAACTTTATACATACTCCTGTATTCACAATCCCCACTTTGTACAAGGAATAAATGTTTGCGTATTAACGAGAAGGACAATAATTATTCTGAATTAAATAATGTACAATTGTAATACTGTAAATATGAATATTGTGACAATTGAAGAGTAAAATTCCTATGTTACATAGAATTATTTAGTACAAGAGTAGAGAATATAGTTATATCTGTGATGAATCTACATCAACAGTATGTATAAATAAAAAAGAATGTGAGTGTCCAACAATTTATACATAACACAGATGTTACAAACAAATAATACACCACCGCATTAAATATCAAGTATATAAGTTATGAAGAATTTCTTGCAACAAACCTAACATTTTCTTTTTATAGTTTTCAGTTGCAGTACGATTTTTGAATTATTCGCAAAAATCTACGCAATAAATGTGCGTAGAACAAAATTTTGGTATCGTGAATTACTTGAATTTATAAGTGTTTCATGTGTTGCTTTTAGATATTGTTTGCAATAGGTTTATTTCGCGAGAAATTTGTGCAATTGTTGGTTTTAACAATATGTAAGTGCACACCTGGTGGAACAAACCGATGTTTTGTAATAAATACGCGAATAAATATGAAAAATGTGACATTAAATATCTCAAAACCTTACAGCACAGGAATGGATTTCTTTACAATCCTCCACCGGATCTTTCAACACTTATTTGTTTCTTGAGCATTTCCTTTTCATGTTGCGCTTCCTCCATTTCAGCCATGCGTGCAAAACGTGAATATGCCACATGACCAGATTTTATAGCTGACATCATCTGTAAGTAAAAACGACACATGTATATATATCTACATATGTAACAAAAGCTAGTTTAAAGTTTGTGTTAACAAATACATGTATCAAAAAGATGTTCAACAAAATGCTATATATGGAGTGAACCATTTATCATAATTGCCACAAATATTCCAAAAAGTATACAATTTATCAAAAAACTATCTCAGATAAAAGTCGAAGGATTCGAAAGTATATGTAGCACAACAATGTTTGTTTGAATAATCTTAAAAATTTTCAAGTATAACTGATAGCTGATGTGAAAATGTTTTTTTTCACAACGGTTTTGATAATACTAATTTTTGCATTCGCAATTTTGCACGTAGCAAGAGCTACGTGCTCTTTCAAACCTTTCAACTTTGGGATATTTTTTTATATATTTCAGATATTTACAGTGATCATGATAAATAGTTGACACTGTATAAGATAATTTCAAATAATTATTATAAATAATGATACAAACACAATATAAATATACACAGAGAAACACAAAATTGCGACAAATTGCTAATTTCTCTATCAGTCCCAACCTGATATTAGATGGATTAGTATCACAAATAACACAACATTATGTATCGTATAAAAGAATGTCATTTAAGAGAAATGATTCACTAGCTAAGAGCGATAAGTAGCAATAAGAAAAAGAAAATGCAAAGAAAAACAACCGGCTACGATTGTATGCACGATGCATAATGCATAATGCATCACAGACCTGAAGATATTCATCCAATTCAACTTGACCGTTCATATTGGTGTCGATTTCGCGTAGAATTTCGTGAAGTTCTTCACCCGGTACTTCCTTATCTCCAAAGAGCTGCGAAGAGCAAAAGAATGTATGTTAAATATGTTCAATGATTTACCTGCAAGTAGTCTTGCAATTCCATTTGACCATTGTAAGTGAGATCAATTTCACTTAATAAACTGTGCATCTCGTCCTGGCTCATTCTTATGCCTAACACCTGTATATTGATTAATTAATGGATATTGATAAGAATAATAATAAACAAAGGGGAAGCAATAAAAAGTGTCATTGAAAAAAGATTAAAATTAAAATTCATAATACACTAACCTTCAGCCCTCGTCTAATATCATTGATAGATACATATCCCTTTTTATCCTTATCTATGATTCTGAAGCGCTTAATGTAAAGTTGAATCTCATCCTTGGTAAGATTGATGGGAATTTTGTCACGAGAAGCACGATTCACCATTTGGCCCATTTCTTGAGCGAGAAAGTCACTGGCTTCGCGATATTGTTTTTTTTTCTCCTCTGCTGACCAATGCAGTTCCTCGGCCATAATATCTATGATGACTGGCAATGCCTCTTGAGCCGCTTGCACGTTAAGAAAAGCGAGTCTTAATCGACGCGCGATCATGTCGATTGTAGTTCTAGCGTATTCTCGTACACCATAGCGTATCTGAAATATTAACAAATATTAACGATATTCCAGAGAAAAAGTTATTGTATTATCTTGGCAATTTTGGAAACATCCTGCAGTTCTCTAAGGATTAATCGTCGATCGATATTTAAACAATTTACGCAAGAGCACTTACTTCAGCGTCGATGTACGGAAATTCCGGATGAATTTTTTTCCCAATAATTGGCCACCGTTTTCCCGTGAGGGAAGCCATTTTAGCTACGGCAAATGCACGATCTCCGTAGCTCTTGGACAAATGTTGCGCGACTTCACATTCCAAGCCGAAATCTTGCACCAATCTGATGTACATCGTAGGGCTCCAGCCTTGAGCACCTTCCAGAAGAAAGCCGTCAGTTTGGCAAGGTCTTTCTGGTTCCAAATCGCAAGCTTCAAACATATATCAAGAAATACCTTTTAGAGCGCTAATCCATGTGTTATGTAAGCGTATAACGTATATCGAAGTAGTGTATAGAATAGAGCAGCCAAGAACAAACACATAAGAAAGTAGGTTTTTTAATTAAGATCACTGTTAATCGATCCTTCTGATATACCTTTTATGGCTGCGTCAATGGTTTCTTGAGCCATTGCTCGGTAAGTCGTCCACTTGCCGCCTGCTATTGTGATGAGATTCGTAGGACTAACATGCACAATGTGATTTCTGGCAAGCGACTGTGTGTTCGGTTTGTTCGGATCGGAAACGAGCGGCCTAATACCGCTCCAGGCGGAGAGAACATCTCCACGGCGTACCTCGACGTCCGGATTGAGATAGTTTTTCACTTCCTGCAGGATAAACATGATCTCGTCTTCCGTGGGCCGAGGATTATGCGTTACTTCGCACGGTAAATCGGTTGTTCCCGCGATAGTTTGCTTTTGCCAAGGCAGAAAGAAGATCACTCGGCCATCGCTCGTCGCTGGATCGAGTAAACCCATCTGATCGGGACTGATAATATCGCATAAAAGTATCGATACATATATATAAGTGTGTATATATATGTGTGTGTGTGTGTATATATATATATATATATATAACGAATTAAGCAATATGGATTTTCCAATGAAAACATAGTCACACAATTGAACATAAAGCATGTGAAATGCATTTGATGGAATGTTTTTTTAATTTTCATACATAATCACTAGTTTGTATTAATGCAACTTTTTTCATTCTATATCATAATCCTTACTTTATACTTGTTATCTTTGTTGAAATAACTATAGCATATATAATGATTGTTAATAGAAAAACCAATCATCTACCTGTACAATTGTAATTTAATAAAAAAGAAGACAACTTTTGTTTTAATATAATGATAATTCATTGTAATCTCTTTTCATTGCATCTTTCTTAATAAATCTATTGAGTCGTAATAATCTTTCTATCACTTAATAATTTATCGATTACTGATTAATCAAGTTTAATCAACTTAATTTTTGAAAGCAAACAGAGATTAGAGAGAAAACAGTACTTCGGTGTTCATTGCTAAAGAAAATTTTAACCATTTGCATTTCACTGATACTATTATGGCGGCATCATAGCATACATAGTATGCACCACACACTCCACATTGACGCCAATACAACACAACATGTGTAATGATCTGCATGATTAGGAAATAAATAAAATAAATAAATAAAATTTGAATTTACAACTGCGCCATAAAAATGTTTCAAATTACTGAAATTGACAACCATGATTCCGAAACAAATTTTCGACTCTGCTTTGTAGCTATGTTGACTTGTGTCGATTGGTGTGATTGCAAGAAAACACTTATATCGACACGTGTCTCAGCAGTATTATCCTTTTTATATTACCTGTAATAACCTGGCAATACTATGTGAACTCCGGAAGACGGACAGCAAATAGACTTAACATTCTGGTCGTCCATTTTTCTGATGTGATCAGTGAAGGGGCCGGTGGCGTTAATTATTGCTTTAGCCTTCACATCCCATTCTTCTCCTGTAAGCTCGTCTCTAAGATGAGCTCCTACGAGGACTCGCTTGCCATCCTTTTCAAGTGAAAAGAAATCTTTCCATGAAACATTCTCATTTTATTTAAAAATACGTACCTTATCAAGACCTTTTAACAAGTTGACCACTTTAACATGATTTACAACTGTGGCCCCGTGTCTCGAAGCTGTCAAAGCAACTGCCAAATTCATCCTAGCATCGTCTTGTTGGCCTGTGTTATGTCAAATAACATTAACAGATAGATATGCACTAGCTTGCTGTATGAAAATTAGAAGAAAAAGAGAAACAAAGCGAGAAATGCATACCATCATAATAGACAATAGCGCCTGTCAATTTGTCGCCTTTCAGCATAGGAAAAAGTTCCAAAGCGTTTGATTTACTTAGATAGTATGACGATTTGACCGTTTTGCTACCTGCTACGAGATCGTACATCTTAATGCCGAACCAGTAATAAGGAATCTGCCACCATCTGAGTAGAGTAATAGATACATACATACATACATA